TTTTATAATACTTCCCATAATTTCAAGCTACCATAAGGTCTTGAATTTTTACCTTGTTTACGAACATATATTATGAAAGAAAAACAACAAAGACGCGACTAATTAACAACAAATTAAAGGCAAACTGTGCTGTTGACTGCCATACAAAAGGGAATTCTATATATAGCTTAACATTTAGATTCATTCAAAGTATACACACATTATATGTATACATGTATATATTAATATTCACTACCGCTGGGGCACTATAAATAAAATTTTAATCCTTTGGCAGCTGACCATCTCCGCACAGTACGATACTAAAACTCCATTAATCCTGAATTGTCAAAGATAGTGTACCTGAGGAGGTCAACGGTCAACAAGAAATTTACAATCTGTTAAAAATACCAGACCGCGCGAAATACCCAGAGGGTACAAATGATTTACTATACAATAGATATGAAATGGGTTAAACTAGAACAATGATCGAGGTGGTGAACTTGATACATGTACAACTGTAATATTTGTATGGGCTACTGGGTGATCATCTCTGTGAAATTTATAATTATAGGAAAATAACGAACAGTTTTCAAACTCAGAAGTCCATTTAAACCACAAATTAGGAATAAGCAAACAGGGACCTCCGAAACATCAGAAGTGGGATCAGGGGCTGTGGAGGAGTGAGCATCCCTTGCCGATCAGACCCGCCGTGTGCTCCCTGTCGTGATCGTGAAATAACGAAAATGTCTATCGACACTTCAGTTTTGAATAATGGTTAACAATATATAATTTGAAAAACGCCAGAAAGCATTAAACTTAATGAGTTGTTTCATATTACGTATGTAAATGGCCAACTGCATCTTGGACATCTTGTTCTGTCATTAGCACCCCACTAAACTAAAGCTTACCATTTAGTTTGAACTGATATTAGGGTTCTATGCATGAATATTGAATCATCAGATATGCATGACATCCCAGTGTTCTTTTGATAAACTTTTAGCTAATGAGGTTTATTCTATAAACACAGGTCCAGATACACCTGTAGGTAAAATATACAATATTTATATAAATGGACAAAACATAGGCGTCGGAACCGGGGGGGCTAGGGGGGGCTTAGCCCCCCCACTTTCTTTTTTCCCAATATATACTTAGTATAGACATTGAACATATCTTCGTAAGTTTAGCCCCCCACTTTCAATAGATATGTCTTAGTATAGGTTAAAATTGGTAAAAGTGTTGGTGTTTGGGAGAAAAATTTGTTGGTATTAGACTTATAACTCCCCCCCCCCCCCAGCGAAATAGGATTTTCGTGTTTGGGAAATAGACATTTCTTTTTTTTTTTTTTTTTTTTTTTTTTTTTTAATTTTTTGCTTGTCAGGTTTTTTTGGAGGTACAAAAAAAATTTTTCTTACACTTAGCCCCCCCACTTTAAATTTGCTTCCGACGCCAATGCAAAATAAGCTAAGACCCATTTTTGCCCCCTGGTTTTCAGTCTCTCAGGATAATGCAATAGTTTATCAATCAAGCCACAAAATGAGTATTTGTTCTAAGTTATTGGATACACAGGGGTCACATGAAGGACAGAAAATATGTCAATTTTCGAATTTTTTCATTTTTTTTAAATGCAAATTATCATTGATTTTCAAGGACTGTTTGGTTCAGAAGCTTACCTGGATACCAAATTGATATATTTCATACACCAGTATCAGATGCATCTTATGTATGAAAATTTCAGAAAGACAAGCTCTGGCTCTATGTTTCCTGAAGTGAAAAGTGTCTCAAATTTGACGAAATTCGACCGAAATTGGGGAAAACTGACCGACTTCTGTACCCAATGTAAGCTTTGACCGTAACCATTCATTGTCCTCTCTTGATTGATTTATACACAGGTGTATAAATAAAAAAGGACACTTTGTTGCATACACTGAATATACACTACAGATTATGGTGCAGTGGCTGCACTTGGACTTTTGCACCAGAGTCGCGGAGTAAAGAGTGGATCCTTACATCGCTTATAGGGGTCCTACTGTAGGATGGAGACCGGTCCTTCGGATGAGACAGTGTCATCGTAAACCGCCCTAGATCCCGTGTCGCAGAAGGTGCTGACACGAAAAAAGATCCAATGCTTGCAGTTTATGCGAAAATAAATTCAGCCTGCCCTCTCCTCTCTCTCTCTCTCTCTCTCTCTCTCTCTCTCTCTCTCTCTCTCTCTCTCTCTCTCGTGCAGTCTATTGCGTTTTCCTATCCATATCAATAAGCAAAGAGAAAAATCTAAATTGTTACAACTCTAAGGTCATGAAAGGATTTTAAAAAACGCAAAACATTTAAACAAGTGTTGTCAATGATTATGACACGACTGGAATGAATAGAATATTGACTTTAAAGATAATTTTGTAACTTGAATAACAAATGCTGAAACGACAAAAAAGGTTTTTTACCGTTATTTGTAATGGCTTTTGCAATTGGAACACTTACAAAGAACGTTCCCGTACACTGAGCAGGGTTTCTATTTAACAATAAGAACCTGTTTGGCTTTCAGCATTTTACAACATTAATTTGAGAGAACTACACAATATAACAATTTAAAAAATGTTTAAATTGCAATGTTTTCTTTTTTGTGTTCTCTCTTTTGTGCAAGGACAATAAATGTTCAGTCTGAAATGAAAGCTGCATGAATTTTAAGAAAGAGAGAGAGAGATTTTTTTCAAAAAATCATGGCACAATTTTTAAATGTTTTCTTAACATCACCTGATTTAGTACTGCATGTTCTTTGTTCTTTCTTCCTAAATATGATAAACCACGTTACTTGGAAACCTGCGAGAGGCTCTTTTAATATCAGTTAAAAACGAGTATTTTGAAGTAAAATCCGCTATTTTGTAAGAGCTTTTATCATCAAAATGGATTTAATTGTATTTAATTCGCGTCCCTGTGGCGAAAACAGCCGACTTCGTTGTTCATTGAAAACCAAGTTGTGGGGTAAAATACAAAGGAGTTTTAGGGCTTTTATTGTAAAGCTCGTAATATTTCATAACCTTGGGAATGTAGTTATCAGGTTAAAGCGGTAGCACCTCGCTAACGATTGTGGAATTAACGAAGTCAGGTGCTCCAATAGAGGAAACTAATATGTTTTACATTTGTTTGTAATCCTTTTTCAAAGTAAAAACTTTTTAAAGTGGGGATAAAAAAATCTTGAAAAGAATAAATAGGATGGCTTTTCACACAACAAGTTGTTTTGTACACTATGAGCGGCAACCTATAGCAAGTTGAAGAGGGGGGGGGGGGTTGCGTTAAGGTTTATCTTAAAAGTCAGGGTGTTTTTCATCAGGGTTCGTATCTACACAGTATAAATTTGAAGTTATTTTATGTTCCATAAATACAAAAATTATCATAATGTTCATCCGAAGTTCTTTGGTATCTAGCTGTGAAAAAATTATTTTTTTTTTTTACAAACTACTTTTTGTATTCAAAATAATAATAATAATCTGAAATAGAAGTTCATGACAGAAATCAATATCATTTTGCGTATTTCGCATATAGAACTTACACAACTGTCATCTTAGAATTTATTGGGATTAAAATATTCTCTAATTTACATGTATAAAGGAATCAATATTCGTACATTCATGTACATAAATACATGAAGTCAATGGTAAATGAATACGTCTTAATCTTTAACCATGTATATTTATTCAGTTTGGTTTCTTACATATTCTGCTTTATTTATAATTAGATGCAATGAAATGTAAAGTTGTTTCGCTGTTTTTCTTTAAAATATTTAAATTTAATTTTTGTTCCATTGTAAGGCAGAAAAAAAATCTTCCTGCTTGAAAAGTTTGGGCTCCACTGCATGAAGTAATATCAGTCTAGCATGTTAATGTAACCATGTGCATAAAAATGTAAAATTCTGTTTAGAATTCTTTGTCTATCTGCGTTGTTTAAAATGAACAATCCATTTACTGCCTTGAATTCTCTGGACTCATAAAAATACAACAGTTACTGTATTTTAAAATAAAGTTGTAACCCTTCAGCCAAATGTTATTTTGTATTTCGTGCAAAAACTTTACGTCTTCATACTGATGCCGATTTTAAAAAAAATGTTTATGTAAAAATATACATGGATACAGTTAATATTGTAAGAGAAGGCAAGGGACCGTGATGTTTATAATTATCTGTCCGTTTCAAGAATTTAAAATATCTAATATTTGTTTTAAATTTAAACAGGATATGAGAGAGAGAGAGAGAGAGAGAGAGAGAGAGAGAGAGAGAGAGAGAGAGAGAGAGAGAGAGAGTTTGCAAAGTTCTTCTTGAAGTTCAAGTTTAATAAGTTTGCATAATATATTTACGGTCAAAAATATATACCGAGGCTACGATTTGACAATTGTTGTGTCAAATTTTGTTGTCATCGCGTTTTTCCATTTCAATCTCATAAATATTGCTTTGACTGTTTAGATATGTTCATAACTCGCCTGTGTAACCCGATAAACATACAATATTATATAGCCACGAGCACAATGGATGTGTCTCTTGTACATAATGTTCCGAAATTTGGCCATTGTTCTTAGTTACTTTCATCTTTATTGAAGGTTGATGAATTAGATTGACTTTTACTGACTTTCCTGCAACATGTGTTTGTTTGTATACCTGTAAGACTCGTCGAGATATTTGGAGTGCACGGTAATTAATATACCTTAGACCACGTGGTAAGTTTCAGTTCAATTCTAGTTTCTATAATTAAAACAAATCTCGTTTATTAAAAAAATAAATATTTGAAGTGATCAGTACCCATTAATGCATTAATTAACAATTATCCAGCATTATACTTTGGACAAAGAAAAAATGTGACGACATATATCTTGAATTAGCATCGATTATCTTGCTGATAAATGATTTATATCTGAACGCACTGTTACCCAACAAATCGATAAATTCCAGAGTGCGTATAAACTGATAAAGTCCAAACAACATATCTTGATTTCATGCACACTCTTAATACAATTGATTCTTAATTAAAAGAATAGCAAAGGCACATTCCATATTGTCATCAATAATCATTTCATAACTTTCCAATGCAGCAAGATATCGCATAGACTATAGAGGGCACTTGTTCCTGTGACGTCACAATACAAGCGTGGAATAGAGTCACCGGTGTGTTTTTGAACTTGGACGACAGTGTACTGAAAGAAGAAGCGAAAATGGGATTAATTACTTATTTTTTGATTTCCTTCACGTTATATTATATGCAAGGTAGGTCATATCACATTTATGGAGTATAAGTGAGAGCGTGTTATTTGGATATATTGATTATGCAGTGTGATTTACCTGGGATTTTTCACCTAAATGCCGGTAGAAAAGGGTGACGCCATTTTTTGGCGGAAAGCCAAACAGCACCCGACGAAAAAATGACCAGGACTATTTTTAATTTTTAAAGAGGGACAATATGGATTTATGTGAACTGGGATACTACGTGTCACCCATTGCCATATTTTATGTTGATGACCAGTAAATCTTGTTTCTGTTTTTCACACCTTTGTTGGGAAATTCCAAAGGTGCATGCTATCAGGTCCAGGAAAATCACTATATTTAGCTATATAGGTATATCTACCTATATAGCTTTATTTACCTATAAAATATAGCTATATTTAGCTATTTTGGAATAAGTTTCAGTTTTATGAAAAGCAGACAAAAAGTCGCATAATGAGTCAGTATTAGTTTTCAACTTTGAAATGGACTGAAAACAATTCACCAAAAACCCACTTATAAAAATGTTTCTCCTTTTGTGCAATTGCAATCAAAGATCTAAAAGTTTTGGGGCTATGTGTAACAAATCTGTAAAGCTACTTTAACAAAGAAAAGCAGTTTTGGTCAACAGGATAATTGATTGGTAATAATTGAGCACAATGCAAGGCAATCACACTTAGTCATGCCTCACCGCACTTCCAGCTATCCAAACAATAGAGATGCATTTTTTGGTTAAAAAGTGTTTATAAGAGGCAATGTTTTTACTATCTATGCCCTAGGTTGTTTTTATTAATCCTTTTAAAATATATATCAGCCATAATTTACATGCGACTTTTTGTCTGCTTTTCATAAAACAGAAACTTATTCCAAAATAGCTAAATATAGCTATATTTTATAGGTAAATAAAGCTATATAGGTAGATATACCTATATAGCTAAATATAGTGATTTTCCTGGACCTGGCTATATTTGGGGTTGCGTAATGGATAAACACATTGTGCGTAGCGTCTTTTTAGAAGAATTTTATGCAAATACCCTAAATGTAAATAAATTGTAATTTGGGGGACATATCATGTATATGCCTACGCATGCTAATTAAGATTAATTATGAATATTATATCATCTACTCTTTAAAAAAAAAAGTCGCACATGAAAGTGCAACTAGGCCTTATTGAATTAATTAGGCCCAGGAATATTCTTTTTTAAAAACTTAAAGATTAAAATAGAACTGTATGGTATTGCAATATTTTTTTTATTCATGAATTTTCTCTTGACTTATTCTGTTTATCATATTTATAATGCAAAAATTAGACATTTCAAGGACTTAACCACCCCTTTCATAATTCATACATGTTGACATATTTATGAGTATAAGTTATGAAACTCCCTAGAGGCAAGCAATACGTATATAAATTATAAATGCATTTTCATCCAATGAGGTTATATCTATAGACTGCATTCTGCAATGTCAACACAACATGAGATTTGTAAATTATGTATAAATCCCTGTATTGTGCAGCCCTGAATTACAGGAAAAGACCAGCTACTACTTCTTCTATTTAACAGCAAAACTTGAGTGTGCTGAAGATTACTTGCTGCTACCGAGGAACCTAGATTTACAGTCTTCCTGGTGTTCATAGCTTTAATACATATATTATATATTTCTTACACAATTATGATTTCAGTATACTCCACATACTCAAATCTTAACACAAACACTTTCTACTTACTTATATTTGTAGGTCATATCTCGATCATAGTCTATCGTGTTAGGAATAGGAGTTTCATTGTCAAATAAAGTAGCTACTGAGCTATTTTACGGAGGAAGGGGAATTGAATTAAAATTCAGATTTTAACTGTATAATTTTCAGTATTCAGTTTGGTAGCAGGAGATTGTATGCTAGCTGTCATGCTTCAGCAATATGTATACAGTTGTGTTGTAAATGTGACAAATTTTCGGTTGTTTCCTCCTCCATTGTCCTTGAGAGTTCCACTTCATTCTTTCTTTCTTTCTATCTCTTTTCTTTTCCTCCTTCCATCCCTTCCAGTCCCCCGTCCCTTCTATCACTATATAATGGCCTCCCTCCCTCCTCCATGTAGGACATGGTACATGTATCACTCTATAATAAGATGTACATACATATTGGTGGACTGAGTGAGGGTTGATTATCCTGCCAGTGTAATTACCCCCTAACTGTGGATATAACATCATTAGAACCCAGTGGCATGCCATAACTCTGTGTCACTCTCAAGTTTCTGAAAACTTCATTTTTTATGTTGACTCATGGAGGTGTATATACTTAATAATTTGATAACATAGGACATCTGTGCATCATAGCTGGGATGTTTTTAGGAGCATAATTGACTTAGGAGGTTCATATTTCCTTAAAGTTATAAATAATTGAAAACATTTTCAAGGTCACAATGTGTAACGTCACATGTGGATGAGACACACTGATATCAATAAAAATCCAAGGAAAAGATATTTCTTATTTAGTTCTTTTAAAGACATGACCATTTTTACAAATCAGTACATCTTTTTTTTGGAATATATGAATCTATGCAATCCAAAATGAGAGTTAATTTATGAAAATTAATTGTCTTGTATTTGGATAAACATGGAAAAAAGCTAGTTCATAACTTCATAGTCTTTGTTCTGTTATTGCAATTTAAGCAGTTGTAAAATCTACTTTATTATAGCACTTGTTACTCAAAAACTTGTTTAGCACCAGTCTTTGGTATTATCAGATCCCGAGATTACTCATTTTCCTGGTGTACCTGGTGCCTTTGTGTAATTTTGTGGTTAGGTAATAAGCTTAGTATGGGAGACTATAGCCCAGTATAGGTGTGGAGCCACTGTGTAGGCACCTGTGTAAAATCCGGCATAGTTTTGTGTTGACATTGTGACATGGTTGTAAACAGTCAGACAATTTGTCAAATGCAGGTGGTTATTTTTCAGCCAGGGAGAAGTCATTGTTGTATTGCATTTAGGGACCAGTCATTGTTGTATTGCATTCAGGGGGTACTGTAAAATGGACTGGAAATGTCAAATCATCTAATAGCTGGTCAGGATACATGTATCCAGCAGTATAATCATATGAACTTACTGCGGAGAACTAGAAGGAAAACTTTCAGAATTAATGTATAATTTTCTTTAGTTTATAGGGACCACATTTAAAAGTTTAAAGTAGATATATCTGCCAAGGATTTTTTTATCTGTAAGTTTTTACAAGGGAGTAAATATTCCATGAAATATGATCAGAGACATGTCGGCCCATTTATAATTAATACCCTGGTAATGTTACTGCCTTGCAACATAACCCTTGTATTTTAGTAGCATCTTTATATAGAAACCACATAGAGATTTTATACTCTCTGGCATATTTGGTTTATTTCACACCCCAGATTTTAAAAGCTGTTTGCTTTAGGTTAACCATTAGTATGCTGTTTTTATGCATGCATTATTTTTTTTCGATAATAATGTCCTGAATTTCCATATGTTGTTCTGTAACAGCCTTTGTACCTGCATGCGGGTGCATGTTAAAATCAATTAACATTTATGATTTCACACGTGTCATTTGGTCACTTTGTTGGTAAATCTAATACTATAATGAATTCCATAAAGTTTTTCCGTATGTCACTATGAGGATGCATGATGTTTTTTTTTTATCAATCGAAGAATCTTTTTAACGTGTGTCTAATTCAGGGAGGGTTTTGGAATTTCCAGCTACGAATGCAAATATATTTAGATATTCTCTAACATGTTGATATATCAGATGATATGTATTTTTTTTTTTTTTTAGAAATCATTACATGAAATTTTATGAAGTTGGATATATTTTGATCTTGGTGGTGTGTGTATATATTAACATATGAAATATTTCAAGAAACAATCAGTGTAGCGCTGCTTTGGAATTTTAGAGTCTATTTAAAGTCATTAATAAGAGGCAGATAGACCAAGTCTTATTCAAATGTGGATCTCGACTGTTTTAGCATGTTTAATTATGCCATTCTCAGAATTGTAGGTCTCTAAAGTGAATGGCTAATGTATAGATATATATATAAATTCCATTAGCTTTTTGCAGATGAACTATAAAATCTATTACTCAGTAATGTAATTCATTGATAATGCTGCTTGAATGATCAGGAATTCACGTGGGAAATATATACTTAGCTGGCCTAAATGCTGATTCATATTTATCATGTTTATAACTATGATATTGGTTATTTGCACATGGATATATATATCTAATGGAGAGTTGGTTATCTAAGTTGAGGCTGTGTATTTGTAGAGACACTGGGTACTATGGAATGTTAATGTTTACAGTGAATGAAATGTTCAGATGAAATAAAGGAATATAAACTTTGATGTCAGGACATATTTGGGAATAAATTTTTTTGTTGCTAAAGATTAAATTATTTTTGCCAAAGGTTCCTTTAGTTACTTACATAATAATCGTTAATAGGTGTAATACTACTGTATACAGGGTTATCTTCGCCCTGCTTTTTTTTACCCTTTCAATCAAATTTTGCCCCATTTTAAATTCACCCAGTTACACTTTTGTTTAAGAAATTATGCTGTATTCTATCAATTCTCCCGTTTTAAATTCACCCAACAGAGGTCAGGGCAAAAGGGGCAAAAATAAAACAGGGGCAAAAATTTCCTTGTATAGAGTATTTCCACTAACTTCAGTAACTCTTGCCTAACCCTTGATGTCCAATGGATATATATTTACAAGCCTTTCAGTGAAGCTCCCCTATATAAACTCAAATTCATTTGAAATGAAAGCAACACCCCCTTCACTCCAGTTTTCCTTCAAGGACAAATTAACACAAGGAGACCTTATGGTCACACAATATCTTGATAAGCCCTTTGTTTCGATCCCCAGCCCTGATATAACCTGATAAAAAATGTCAAGCCTGTTGTTATATTTGCTCTGCTTCAGGAGAGGAGAGATTTTAATCAATAGGGATGTAGTCAGGGGCAGTCTAATGCATTGATTAGTT